TTTATTTTAATATGCTGGCAGTATGGTCATCCACAAAAATCTGTTCTGCACTCCCCCCTACATCCCTCCCACCCCCAGCTGTGTATACTAGTATGGGATATAAGGACAAATATTACATGGGGAAGTGAGCAAAAGGAATAAAAAATGGGTATGCAAAAATAAAAATGGGTATTACAGGCATGGGGAAGTGGGCAAAAGAAATAGGAATGGGTATAATTGTTATAGTTACAGGTGTTAACGTAAAAAACCATTGAAACCTATAAAGAATTTTTGTGAGTTTATTTGAGCCAAACTGTTGACATATGCCGAGAAGCAGAACCTCAATGGATTGAGATAATGCTCCGGAGAATGGCGGGTTACATCTGTATTTATACATTGCAATCAAAGGAGGGATGTAGGTGGGTTACATGAAATCCATTGGTGATAGACTAGAGAGGCGGGAGAAAGCAAAGGGGGGGGGGGGGGAGAAACCCTGGGATTGGATGAAAAGTAAAATGATGGACACATACTAGGGTGGCTGCAGGAACAATTAACATGATAATGAAGGAATTTGTGGTAGCTGTCCTGGCGCCTAACAAACTAGGTTGTGCCCCAAGGGGTCCAGAAAAAGGGAAGTTACAAGTTACCCAGACATTTCAAAGGGTATGTTATCATAGATGCAAAAAGACACATAGGCTCAGTGAAGGTAAAGGTTGACCTTGTCAGTGAAGATACCGGCCTAGGACATAACTACCCACCATAACTGCTTTTAGTTGAAGTTTAATTTCAGACCATCCTTTGTGGTACCTTTGGGTCTCTGAGTTTGCAAGACCGCCATGCAGGCCTCCCCTGAGCTTCTCAGGTTAGCATGTGGCCCCTTTCGTCCACACAGGCAATGTGGCCTGGGGGTTTGCAAAGGGCAGGGGGCATCTGGGACTATATTACTTCCTTTCTGCAACATGGTTGTTAGTCTTTTCATGATAACGGGCAGCTCAGAGATGGGGAGAATGGGCTGAATTTCCAGGTGAGCTCCCAGGTCTCACGTGCAACTCCCAGTCAGATTATAAAGTGCTTTTAAAATATGTGTGTGTGTGTGTGTGTGTGTGTGTGTGTGTGTGTGTGTGTATAATTGATTTCAGAGAGGAAGGGAGAGGAATAGAGAGATAGAAACATCAATGATGAGAGAGAGTCATTGATTGTCTGCCTTCTGCATGCCCCGCACTGGGGACCAAGCCCAAAACCCGGGCATGTGCCCTTGACTGGAATCGAATCTGGGGCCCTTCAGTCCACAGACCGATGCTCTATCCACTGAACCAAACCAGCTAGGGCTAAAAAGTGCTTTTTAAAAATCAAAACAAAACAATTACAGTTAACAGAGCATGATTAATTTTTCTTATTTTATTTTTAAATATATTTTATTGATTTTTTACAGAGAGGAAGGGAGAGAGATAGAGAGTTAGAAACATCGATGAGAGAGAAACATCGATCAGCTGCTTCCTGCACACTCCCCACTGGGGATGTGCCCGCAACCCAGGTACATGCCCTTGACCGGAATGGAACCTGGGACCTTTCAGTCCACAGGCCGACGCTCTATCCACTGAGCCAAACCGGTTTCGGCAATTTTTCTTATTTTATTTCTTATAACTAAGACCTGCCTATTGATCAGTGATGCTTTCAGAGAAAGAGCTCCCCCACCCTCCCAGGAAAAGATTTTGATCAGAAGGGAGAAATGATAAAGATTATGATGAGACTTTAAACTTTTTTTTAAAATATATTTTATTGAATTTTTACAGAGAAGAAGGGAGAGGGATAGAGAGTTAGAAACATCGATGAGAGAGATCGATCAGCTGCCTCCTGCACAGCCCCCAGTAGGGATGTGCCCGCAACCCAGGTACATGCCCTTGCCCGGAATCAACCCGGGACCCTTGAGTCCGCAGGCTGACGCTCTATCCACTGAGCCACACCGGTTCGGCAAGAGACTTTAAACTTTTGAACTTTAAAGTTTAAGGGAACATGATCAATCTGGAGGGTCTGTGGAAGGAATTAGGGTTTATGGGAGGAGTTATTGCACTCTCATCCTGAGAACCCTACAGGAAGAACTCTAGGCTTACAACAAAGTTCTATGTTTGTAACTACCCCTTCCCTTAACTTCCCTTTTCCTTTCCAATAAGGAAAAGGGAAGTTAAGGGATGCTGGGCAGTATGTGCACATGGCTTGCCATGCCTGCATACACTGGATTGCATTTCTTTCTTTTTCCCAAATAAATCCTTTTTGGTGACAAAATGAGATAGGCAAGCACTCCACAAGTCCAGCTGTCAGGAGCCAAAAACTCATTAATCGGTCCTTATATCCTTATATCGTCCCTTCTTTTTAAAGCCAATTAGCTGCTAGGCTGAAGGACACTGCTGTCTGCAAGTTTTACTTTGATGGGCTTACATTTTGTGCCTTCCAGTCATGCATGTGCACTAGCAAAAAAGGCTGTCTTCCCCTCTTCCCTCCCTCATGACCCTCCCTCATTTAAATGATAAAAGCCACACCCCTGGGTGGAGATTTAGCATGCTGATTAGACATGCCCTCCTGGAAGAAGCTTGTAGTTCCAGTGCAGGCCCGCAAATTCTCCACCACTCTATACTGAAATGTCACACTTAGATGTCATCTTTTCCGCCTCAAATTCCTTAAAACTGTTCCCTGGCTTTTGTTCAGAGAGCAACATTTCTCCTTTTCCCTTTAAATGTTGTCTCCCTTGATGTACAAGCTATTTAATAAACCTTCACCTGAGCCTTAATTCTTGTGGTGCACTCTGTTCCTTTCTATCTTGGGATTTCCTAAAAAGCTAGGATGGGCCCTAACTCATTTGGCTCAGTGGATAGAGTGTCGGCCTGCGGACCAAAGGGTTCAATTCTGGTCAAGAGCACGTACCTCAGTTGTAGGCTCCTCCCCAGCCCAGGTCCTGGTCAGGGCACTTGCAGAAGGCAACCGATTCTGAAAATCAATGGGAAAATATCCTCACTCTAGCCCAGTGATTCTCAACCTTCTGGCCCTTTAAATACAATTCCTCATGTTGTGACCCCAACCATAAAATTATTTTCGTTGCTACTTCATAACTGTAATTTTGCTACTGTTATGAATTGTAATGTAAATATCTGATATGCAGGATGGTCTTAGGCGACCCCTGTGAAAGGATCGTTCGACCGCCAAAGGGGTCGCGACCCACAGGTTGAGAACCACTGCTCTAGACGGTTTGACTCAGTGGATAGAGCGCTGGCCTGCAGACTGAAGGATCCCAGGTTTGATTCGGTCAAGGGCACATGCCCATGTTTCAGGCTCGATCCCCAATAGGGGGCGTGCAGAAGGCAGCTGATCAATAACTCTTACTGATGTTTTTCCATCTCTTTCCCCCTCTCTCTTCCTCTCTGAAATCAATAAAAAATGTATTGAAAGAAAGAAAGAAAGGAAGGAAGGAAGGAAGGAAGGAAGGAAGGAAGGAAGGAAGGAAGGAAGGAAGGAAGGAAGGAAGGAAGGAAGGAAGGAAGGAAGGAAGGAAGGAAGGAAGGAAGGAAGGAAGGAAGGAAGGAAGAAAGAAGCCCTTGGGTGAGGATAAAAAATTTAAAAGAAGCCAGGATGGTTTAGCGGTAGAATTCTCACCTGACATACAAGAGCCCCTGTTTTAATTTCCAGCCAAAACTCTGTATTGGTTTTGGTGATCTCTTTTGCCCTCTATCCTGGGAGATCACAAGAACCCAGGGTGCCGATAACAGAAACACCTGGTCAATACTGATTTTCAGTGGACGTAATGGAATATTCTTCAACCATAAAAACAAATGAAGTATTGATACATGCCACAACAGGAATGTGCCCTGAGAAACATGATGCTCAGTGAGTGAAGTCAGTCATGAAGACCATATATTATCTAATACCATGCATATGAAAGACCCCCAATAGTAACTCTAAGGTAGATTAGTGATTGCCCAGGGGTAGAGATTGGAGAAGGAAGATGGGAAGACTGAGAGTGATAGATAAATTGTACAATGCAGTATATATATATATATATATCAAATCATCTTATTGTAATCTTTGTAAACCGAGAAAGAAGTTTTCAAGTGCATCCCAAAGTTACATGACAATTACTAAAAGTGTTGCTTATATCAGTAATTAAACCTTCGGGATATTAAACCCATTGACGTGTTGGAGTTTTCTAGGGTCACATGGAGAAACTGACCTAAAATAAATTTCCTTTAGTGCCAAAGGAAATCATTCCTCTCCCTTCCTCTCTGAAATCAATACACCTGAAAATGTAATGAACACACCTCACACCTTGTGGTTGGATTGAGAAAGTCCTTGTGTCCAGCGGGGTTCCATTTCCCACCAGCGCCAAGTGCTCTGGCTTCTTTCTCTTAGGGACCAAATGAGAGGCGGTGAGAAAGGCATAGGTGGAAAGTTCAAGGCTTGCAAGAACCAAAGACCCAAATGGAGCCAGACTCTATTACAGAAGGTCGGATTGTCTGTGTTTCTAAACCAGGGTGACAGTTCCACGAGTGAGGTCGCAGCCTTACGCCAAATCCTTGACCCCCTACAAGACATCAAACCATCTTGCGCCAGGGCGGTCTGGCTTAACCTACTCTCTTGTCTGTACTTGCTCCATCTTGAAACTGAATCACGAATTCTCGGCGCACACCTCCGACCACGCCTTCCCACGACGCTGTGGAAAAGACAAAGGAGTCAGCCCCAGGCCAGGAAAAAAAGTTCTGTTTGAAAGCCAATGTTA